GATATAGTTCGTATTACCGCCCTGTTGCCTTAGGTTTTAGCTGTAGCATCTCTCCTCCACACATTCCCCGAGTAACCAAAATGCAATAGAATTACTTTAATGAATTATAATCCATAGTTCTCAAAGGATCACACGCCCTTCTTTCATGAGAAAAACCTTGGATTCCATTCGACGTTTAAATCGGAGCGGGTTAAGAAAATATCCAATATTTGCGCTGCTAAACACATTATGTTTAGAACATTGTCAGGAACCCAAACGAAAACACGCCACATTGGGATTGTTCGTGCACGAAATCTTACCGAGATGAAAGGAGGACTGCTGGGGCCAATTCTCCGGTAATTACGGTGAATACCTGCCTCTCCAGGGAGCATGTGCTTACACACGAGCTAACATTACATGTACTGTTAAATTGGGATGATGACTTTCCCAGAAGCTACGCTCAATTAAGAGTATGCATGGTGTACTTCCGGTTAGGGAGCAGTATACTTCCTGTGCTTACAATTACTGTATTTTGCTGTAATACGGTATTGTGTTGTTAATCTCATGTTGGGTTTCATGAAACGTATGCTTCATACGTAAAATCCCTGTTGACTATATGTAGCTCATTTGTCCTGTAATTTAGATATAAGTCTCAAATGTCTGCCTAGGACAGGGGCTTAGCATGATGTCACATGGTCACTCCGGTGACGTGACACAGGGTATTGATTTTGAATACGTATGTGAAACAAACTTTGTTTATCATGTTTATTCACAGGATGTTGTTTTAAAGACATTAGCAGAACAACAAACAATGTGCAATAAACACAGTATATACAATTTAAAATAAGTCAAATATACATATAATATCTTCAGTCCATACCGACATAAATATATTTGTATATGAATAGTTCGTACATATACATATATCTTTTATAGGTATTATGCTTTGATTCTATATCACCGCCAAATTGTTTCTGAACGCAAACCCCATTCTCTGTTTACTTTCACTGTAAATGATTAAAGATATGAATTGAATATTTTTCGTGTATTACCCTTGCAATAGGGAGACACGATTTAGTGATTGCCCTCGATTTCACTTGGACTGAACCCTCACGGAAAATGATTCCTGTCGGGCAAACCAATAATCGTGTTTACCTTCATTATAGGCAGTACACATTTTAAAATCACTCGGAACCCAGGTGCACTGGCCATTCCGCATATTTCTAGAAAGGCTCCGAATAACTTAAATATGACCGAGGAAACTCGAGCGTGTGAGACCGACACGATGTTTTATATCCCCGTCATGTGATCAATGTAATCCAATCAGACACGCTGTAATATAGACGAGGTATAATACTATCTATTTTTTCATCAGTGTTGAATTTCAAAGGATATCAACTTACATACATATATATTTAGATCATTGACAGATAACAATACAAATTCTCTATAAAGCGGATCCTCTATGGACCGGCCACAATTTTCATTCTTTGTCCTATTCGGTACAGAAAAGGCTTCCTTGCAGGTTTTTTTGATAAACCTTGACGGATTTTTCCTTTATCGCAAGGTGAAGATACGCCCACTAGGTTTCTGTCCGCTGGATGACTGAACCAATAACACTTATATCATCTGATCAAACACGTGAAAACCATATATGTTTCCAGATATATATAGTTTAAGGAACATTGGATGTCGGTTATTATCACATCTGATTAAACTTTTACATCTAACTTAAAACGGTGACACTCTGGAGAAAATTGGGAGGCTGGAATTTCACTCAATTCTGTGGTTAGTGTTGCATTACGCCTGTTTCTTAATTGAGATAAATCGATTAGCTGTTTTAGGACGATTATTTCATGAGCAGAACGGGATTTAACCAATTCCAGGGACGAGGAGCTCAGTAAATCTCCGTTTTATTCACATCTAATTCAATGACGTATAATTAAAAAACGTCCTCCCACACGAATAATTTGATTTCCTATTGAAAAATTGGTACTTATTATATCTATCACGATCCTACCTTAACAGGTTAAGGGTGTGAGTTGTGTAATGCAATTATATCGGTAATCATTTGACGTCATTGATCACGTGGCAATGGATACTAAGAGCGTAAATTGCGTCTGAGATAGTAAATTACTTTTCTGTAATAAAATTGTTCATAGACTGTTTAATTCTATGAAGGCTTACATGAAAAGGACATTATTTATAAATGAGAGAAGTCTTACAATTGCATGACGTCATCACAATGAACCTAAGATAGCGGTAAGCAGTGCGCGTGTCTTGTGAAGTTAAAGAATACAATTGTTCGTTTTAAATATTGTTATCATTTTAAATATCACGTGATTATGTAAAATTGCCCGAGAGCAAAGCTAAGTGTCATGAAACGTCTATTTTTGTTTTTTAACAAGCCATTTATTAGTGTATTTTATATATGTTCACTCTCTAACTGAAGAGTACAGGCAGGGTATAACAGATGAACCGGTACATTATGTTATTGAACATATCTTCCCACCCTGAAAACTGTGCCGCTTGTTTTTGGTTAAAGTATTGACTACTTCATATTCCTATACCAGCTGTATTGAAATGCATCCTTCCTTCCGAATAAACGAACCCCAGAAAACACTTGGGTATAGTGCGCTGGCCTGTCGCCCGGATCCTACGTCCGGATACCGTAAACGAAGGTTGTATTTGTTTTCAGGACAAAATATTTTACAAATTTTGTTCAACTTCGCCTGCTTCGAGTAAAGAATAATGTGGTCTTCGATAGGATATGTCGGTATCAGTTTCAAGTCGTATGGCACTGTAATTCAGCCGTTATAGATCCCGACTAATGACAAGAAAACAGACTGACTGCGTATACTCTAATACATATATAGCAGTCCATGTGGGTAAGCTGGTTTCCCTAATAAACGAAGGAAACGCGTAATAGAGCAGACCTTTCGGCGACATGCATACACATAACATGTTTTTATAATGGCCTCCCCACTCGAGGCGTTTTGATTTGTGTGATTCTCTCGTAATAGGCGAGCTTTTTCGTGTATGCAGTTGTTTACGCAACTGCATGCTTCCTTTGTGATAATGGATGATCCACTAGGTGGCGTTTCGATAAGTGTCATTCTTACAAGTCGACAAGCTGCTAAGTGATGAAAACGTAAACATGTTAATGGACGATCCACCAGGTGGCGTTATGTTAGGTGTCATTCGAGCAGATGTGTCATTACTGTTTATTTGTTTATGTACTATATTTAGTTGTTGGTGTCATTATCTTTATTAAATGGACGAGCCACCAGGTGGCGTTTCGTTAGGTGTCATTCAAACAGGTATATCCTTACTGTTCATTTGTTTATGTACTATATGTATGTGTTGGTGTCATTATCTTTATCAAATGGACGAGCCACCAGGTGGAGTTTCGTTAGTTGTCATTCAAACAGGTATATCCTTACTGTTTATTTGTTTATGTACTATATTTAGTTGTTGGTGTCATTATCTTTATTAAATGGACGAGCCACCAGGTGGCGTTTCGTTAGGTGTCATTCAAACAGGTATATCCTTACTGTTTATTTGTTTATGTACTATATGTAGTTGTTGGTGTCATTGTCTTTATCAAATGGACGAGCCACCAGGCGGCGTTGCGCAGATTTCGGACCGCTCTGGACCTTCATCAAGATTTAGTAAAGGACCGGTGAGGTCCGGAAACTGCGCAGCGCTGATTCAGCACGCGACGAGGCTCCGGACAATGTCCAGTCACTCACCAGACTCTGGGGAGAGCTAACCCGGTAGGAGGTTAGGTGGATTGCTGTCGTTTTGATTTGTCTTTCTCTCCATCATTGATGGCCTGTTTATGGGATTTACCACGCCGATCTGTCGGAGGCACATGCTCCGTTGGTGAAGATTTCGTTTGCCTTATTACATATATATTATTGTCCATACAGTGTAATGCTGATAGCGAACGTTGTTCACTTGACGTTAAAATGTGAATAGCATAGGTTGTCATTAAAACAACAAAATGTTTGGAGTGTCCCTTAAAATCCTTCGTTTTAAGTAGTTTTATTTGTTTTGTTTAGAGTATCACTACCAGGTTTGTTTGTAGTATCACTACCAGGTTTGTTTTGAGTATCCCTACCAGTGTTGTTTGGAGTATCCCTGCCATGGTTGCTTTGAGTATCACTACCAGTGTTGTTTGGAGTATCACTACCATGTTTGCTTTGAGTATCACTACCAGTGTTGTTCGGAGTATCACTACCAGTTTTGTTTGGATAATCACTACCAGTGTTGTTTGGAGTATCACTACCAGGTTTGTTTGGAGTATCAATACCAGGTTTGTTTGAAGTATCACTACCAGTGATGTTTGGAGTATCACTACCAGGTTTGTTTGGAGTATCAATACCAGGTTTGTTTGAAGTATCACTACCAGTGATGTTTGGAGTATCACTACCAGGTTTGTTTGGAGTATCAATACCAGGTTTGTTTGAAGTATCACTACCAGTGATGTTTGGAGTATCACTACCAGGTTTGTTTGGAGTATCACTACCAGGTTTGTTTTAAGTATCACATCCACTGTTGTTTGGGGTATCACTACCAGGTTTGTTTGTAGTATCACTACCACTGTTGTTTGGAGTATCAATACCAGGTTTGTTTAGAGTATCACTACCACTGTTGTTTGGAGTATCAATACCAGGTTTGTTTGGAGTATCACTACCAGGGTTGTTTGGAGTATCACTACCAGGTTTGTTTGAAGTATCACTACCAGTGTTGTTTGGAGTATCACTACCCGGTTTGTTTGTAGTATCACTACCAGGTTTGTTTGGAGTATCATATCGACTGTTGTTTGGAGTATCACTACCAGGTTTGCTTGAAGTATCACTACCAGTGTTGTTTGGAGTACCACTACCAGGTTTGTTTTGAGTATCACTATCAGTGTTGTTTGGAGTATCACTACCAGGGTTGTTTGGAGTATCACTACCAGGTTTGTTTGAAGTATCACTACCAGTGATGTTTGGAGTATCACTACCAGGTTTGTTTTAAGTATCACATCCACTGTTGTTTGGGGTATCACTACCAGGTTTGTTTGTAGTATCACTACCAGGTTTGTTTTGAGTACCACTACCAGTGTTGTTTGGAGTATCACTACCATGTTTGCTTTGAGTATCATTACCAGTGTTGTTCGGAGTATCACTACCAGTTTGGTTTGGATAATCACTACCAGTGTTGTTTGGAGGATCACTACCAGTTTTGTTTGGATAATCACTACCAGGTTTGTTTGGAGTATCACTTCCAGGTTTGTTTTGAGTATCACATCCACTGTTGTTTGGAGTATCACTACCAGTGTTGTTTGGAGTATCACTACCAGGTTTGTTTGTAATATCACTACCAGTGTTGTTTGTAGTATCACTACTAGGTTTGTTTGTAGTATCACTACCAGTGTTGTTTGTCGTATCACTACTAGGTTTGTTTGTAGTATCACTACCAGGTTTGTTTGGAGTATCACTACCAGGTTTGTTTGTAATATCACTACCAGTGTTGTTTGTCGTATCCCTACTAGGTTTGTTTGTAGTATCACTACCAGAGTTGTTTGGAGTATCACTACCAGGTTTGTTTGGAGTATCACTACCGATGTTGTTTGTAGTATCACTACCAGTGTTGTTTGGAGTATCACTACCAGTGTTGTTTGGAGTATCACTACCAGGTTTGTTTGGAGTATCACTACCAGGTTTGTTTGGAGTATCACTACCAGGTTTGTTTGAAGTTTCACTACCAGGTTTGTTTTGAGTATCACGACCAGTGTTGTTTGTAGTATCATTACCACTGTTGTTTGAAGTATCACTACCACTGTTGTTTGGAGTATCAATACCAGGTTTGTTTGGAGCAACACTACCACTGTTGTTTTCGAGTATCACTACCAGTGTTGTTTGGAGCACCACTACCACTGTTGTTTGAAGTATCACTACCACTGTTGTTTGGAGCATCACTACCACTGTTGTTTGGAGTATCACTACCAGGTTTGTTTGTAGTATCACTACCACTGTTGTTTGGAGTATCACTACCATGTTTTCACTACCAGTGTTGTTTGGAGTATCACTACCAGGTTTGTTTGAAGTATCACTACCAGGTTTGTTTGGAGTATCACTACCAGTGTTGTTTGGAGTATCACTACCAGTGTTGTTTGTAGTATCACTACCACTGTTGTTTGGAGTATCACTACCATGTTTGTTTTGAGTATCACTACCAGTTTTGTTTGGAGTATCACTACCACTGTTGTTTTGAGTATCACTACCAGATTTGTGTGGAGTATCAATACCAGGTTTGTTTAGAGTATAACTACCACTGTTGTTTGGAGTATCAATACCAGGTTTGTGTGGAGTATCACTACCACTGTTGTTTTGAGTATCACTACCAGATTTGTGTGGAGTATCAATACCAGGTTTGTTTAGAGTATAACTACCACTGTTGTTTGGAGTATCACTACCATGTTTTCACTACCAGTGTTGTTTGGAGTATGACTACCATGTTTGTGTTGAGTATCACTACCAGTGTTGTTTATCACTACCAGTGTTGTTTGTAGTATCACTACAAACAACACTGGTAGTGATAAACAACACTGGTAGTGATACTCAACACAAACATGGTAGTCATACTCCAAACAACACTGGTAGTGATTATCCAAACAACACTGTAGTGATTATCCAAACAAAACTGGGAGTGATACTCCAAACAACACTGGTAGTGGTACTCAAAACAAACCTGGTAGTGATGCTCAAAACAAACCTGGTAGTGATACCTCCAAACAACACTGTTGTTTGGAGTATCAATACCAGGTTTGTGTGGAGTATCACTACCACTGTTGTTTTGAGTATCACTACCAGATTTGTGTGGAGTATCAATACCAGGTTTGTTTGGAGTATCACGACCACTGTTGCTTGTAGTATCACTCCCAGGTTTGTTTGGAGTATCACTACCACTGTTGTTTTGAGTATCACTACCTGATTTGTTTGGAGTATCAATACCAGGTTTGTTTGGAGTATCACGACCACTGTTGCTTGTAGTATCACTCCCAGGTTTGTTTGGAGTATCACTACCAGGGTTGTTTGGAGTATCACTACCAGTTTTGTTTGGATAATCACTACCAGGTTTGTTTGGAGTATCAATAGCAGGTTTGTTTGGAGTATCACTACCACTGTTGTTTTGAGTATCACTACCTGATTTGTTTGGAGTATCAATACCAGGTTTGTGTGGAGTATCACTACCACTGTTGTTTTGAGTATCACTACCAGATTTGTGTGGAGTATCAATACCAGGTTTGTTTGGAGTATCACTACCACTGTTGTTTTGAGTATCACTACCAGATTTGTTTGGAGTATCAATACCAGGTTTGTTTAGAGTATCACTACCACTGTTGTTTGGAGTATCAATACCAGGTTTGTTTGAAGTATCACTACCAGGTTTGTTTTGAGTATCACGACCAGTTTTGTTTTGAGTATCACTACCAGTTTTGTTTGGAGTATCACTACCAGTGTTGTTTGGAGTATCACTACCAGGTTTGTTTGGAGTATCAATACCAGGTTTGTTTGGAGTATCACTACCACTGTTGTTTGGAGTATCACTACCAGATTTGTTTGGAGTATCACTACCAGGTTTGTTTGGAGTATCACGACCAGGTTTGTTTGTAGTATCACGACCAGTGTTGTTTGGAGTATCACTACCAGGTTTGTTTGGAGTATCAATACCAGGTTTGTTTAGAGTATCACTACCACTGTTGTTTGGAGTATCACTACCAGGTTTGTTTGGAGTATCAATACCAGGTTTGTTTGGAGTATCACGACCAGTGTTGTTTGGAGTATCACTACCAGGTTTGTTTTGAGTATCACTACCAGGTTTGTTTGAAGTATCACTACCAGGTTTGTTTGGAGTATCACTACCAGGTTTGTTTTGAGCATCACGACCAGGTTTGTTTTGAGTATCACTACCAGTGTTGTTTGGAGTATCACTACCAGGTTTGTTTTGAGTATCACTACCAGGTTTGTTTGAAGTATCACTACCAGGTTTGTTTGGAGTATCACTACCAGGTTTGTTTTGAGCATCACGACCAGGTTTGTTTTGAGTATCACTACCAGTGTTGTTTGGAGTATCACTACCAGGTTTGTTTGGAGTATCAATACCAGGTTTGTTTTGAGCATCACGACCAGGTTTGTTTTGAGTATCACTACCAGGGTTGTTTGGAGTATCACTACCACTGTTGTTTGGAGTATCACTCCCAGGTTTGTTTTGAGTATCACTACCAGGTTTGTTTTGAGTATCACGACCAGGTTTGTTTGGAGTATCACTACCACTGTTGTTTGGATTATCACTCCCAGGTTTGTTTGAAGTATCACTACCAGGTTTGTTTGGAGTATCACTACCAGGTTTGTTTGGAGTATCACGACCAGGTTTGTTTGGAGTATCACTACCACTGTTGTTTGGAGTATCACTACCACTGTTGTTTTGAGTATCACTACCAGGTTTGTTTGGAGTATCATATCGACTGTTGTTTGGAGTATCACTACCAGGTTTGTTTGGAGTATCATATCGACTGTTATTTGGAGTATCACTACCAGGTTTGTTTGGAGTATCAATACCAGGTTTGTTTGGAGTATCACGACCACTGTTGTTCGGGGTATCAATGCCAGTTTTTTTTGGAGTATCACTACCAGGTTTGTTTGGAGTATCACTACTAGGTTTGTTTGGAGTATCAATACCAGGTTTGTTTGGAGTATCACGACCACTGTTGCTTGTAGTATCACTACCAGGTTTGTTTGGAGTATCACTACCACTGTTGTTTGAAGTATCACTACCAGGTTTGTTTGGAGTATCAATACCAGATTTGTTTGGAGTATCACTACCACTGTTGTTTGGAGTATCACTACCAGGTTTGTTTGAAGTATCACTGCCAGGTTTGTTTGGAGTATCACTACTAGGTTTGTTTGGAGTATCAATACCAGGTTTGTTTGGAGTATCACAACCACTGTTGCTTGTAGTATCACTACCACTACCAGGTTTGTTTGGAGTATCACGACCAGGTTTGTTTGGAGTATCACGACCACTGCTGCTTGTAGTATCACTACCAGGTTTGTTAGAAGTATCACTACCAGGTTTGTTTAGAGTATCACTTCTTGTCCTTCGCACTTTGATGTATAGGATCGTAGTCGATTTTCAAATTGCTCTAACCATACATGTACCTCTCGGTCTGTAACGGAAACTTTATTACATCCAATTCCAGCAGACCTGGTCGTTCAAATAGCGTTCCCATTTGTAGTAATTTGAAAGTCAACCTTAGAACAGTTTGCGTGGTTTCGATACACGAGCAGCGACCGTATTCCAAGTTAGAGGAATGGATCTCTGATTCCACCTCAGATATACGGAACAGATTGTAAACAAATACCAGACTTTGTTTGTGATCACTGATGCCCATTGAGATAAGCTTTTGATTGTTTCTCTGTTGATATCGCTTTACATCGTGTTAGTAGTCAAATATGTTCCTTTTTTAACAGTTTTTAGTCACAGATATAAAACATAATATAGTGAAAATCAATGCTGTTTAACTGACATTTCACTCCAATCAATAGATAATTAAACTTTTTTTAAACAACGTGATATTCTTAAGGTATCTAGTTCATATAAATCGAGAGAACAAAATGTTGAAAAAAAATAAATATAGTTTAATAAAACGTCAAAATACAGGAAAATCTAAGTTAATTTTGAAATCATTTAATTGGATATTGAGTGCTCAAAAAAGGGGACAAAGAAGATGTTTTTGGTCCTTTGTGCCAAATACCTCGAAATATGTAAAGGATATATAATAATCTGAGCTATCCCAGAGGACTGANACCCCCCCCCCCCCCCCGCCCCCCCATAATGTTACGCTGATTCTACAGCGTAAAATTATATAGAACTCCAAATTTTAGTCCAAAAGGTTCATTTCGAATGATAAGAAATTTGCATAATACAAAAAACGACTATCCGAAATTTTGTATTTCAAATCACGGCTATTATACTCAAAAGTTAGATAAACATACGTCGAGGGCAAATACAAACGTGTTATTGATACATGCACGATTCTGTCTACAAACAGATGACGATTTTGATACACGCCTTGTCATTTGATGGTCCCAAGGGGACGGCTTAAGGCCAAACATTCCCATCCTAACTCAGTAATCAAATAAACGCCGAGATCGAATGGTAGCTGTGTCATGGACATTTCTCTGTTTCCTGTCGCCGCATTGATTATTGAATTTTTGGAAACAATAATTACCCGGAGAAGCTGTGTTTACCTTCGCAGCCCGCTTTGCATTGGGTCATTTATGTGTTCCGATATCAGCTTCAATTTCAGAATATGTCCATTTTGTATCTCGTCTGAATAATTCGTCTGTGAGGTTTGCTCCTTTCAAACGCCTACATACGCATGTTTTCGCTTTGAATTAGAAGTTAACGTTTACGAATTGAACGCGTTTTGCTCTATAAATTTTTCCTGTGTTTTTTCAGTCAGCAATTTTCTTGATAAAATATGAATATTAATAACTATTGTAACGCAAACGAGAGGAAATAAAGCTTGTTATTTTCATATTTATCATACTCTTTGAAAACCTCAATGTTAACTTGCAATTATAGACGTCAAACTATCAATGCACAATACAAGATCATTCAACGGCAGCTATGGTTGTGTTTTGTTTCTGTGTCTTGGTATCTTTCGAAAATGTGCCAGAAAATCTCAGTCAATACCTGAACTGCAACATATTAAATAAAAGGCAGGTAAAAAACACATCCCAGCATAAAAAAATACTTTTTTTAACACGATTATGTACAAAGTACATGAAAAACACCGCTTCATATCATTACGTGACCTGGCGACGACTCGCGGTATCCTCTACGAGTAATAAATATCCAGGAGCGCGTCACGCGTTCAGCCCTGTAGCCATTTAGAACACGTTTTCATTATTTGTGTTCTAGGACAGACAGATATCTGTGTTATCTCCGATAGGTGGCGCATTTAATTCATTCGCAAACGTTATACATGTTAACAGTGGTACCTTTAATATTCCCTTAATTATCATGTTCATGTGAACAAATACGGGTTTTTAAGGAAATACTTTAAAATATGTCGACGAGACTCGCGATTTGCTACGGCTTTCTCGATAACCAAGCTTTTTGAAATGATTACTAATGCGTATTTGCTCATTAGTCTTTCTCGTCCTCTTCCGGGAAAACACACTGCAAAGCAAATAGAGGGGAGCATCGATTTTGTTCTGAAATGTAACACACGTTGGGTCACATGACCGGAAATTCACGTGTTTACATCTCTAACGTGTAGCGTAGGATACACCGGAAGTTCAACCGATTAAAGGACAACTTTTTACGTACACTACCTTAACTGATGAACAAAAGACATTTTTATGAATGGTCTCGACAGTTATTATTCCCTAGAAGATAATAAACCTGAAACAAATCCAGGATATTGGATTTAAAAATAAAATACTTATTTCGTGTCCATTGTTGAGATATTTGTCATATAATCAACAATTTGATAATGGTTAGGTCCTCTATTTACAATAAAGTCGCGATAAGTTGACACAGCTGATACTTAAAAAACAACAACATAAGGGTTATTTCAATTATGGTATTGCTAAATATAACCAATTCCAGAGATCATAGCGCTCATGCAGTTCAAGCTTCTATTACCACAATTGAAGAAAATATTCAACTCATTTGTTTATTTATTTTTCATGAAACGAATTCAATCCCATGCAATGATTTGTTAAATGACGACTCGCTGACACAATGCCACTGATTTCTCATCCTTGGCCCGTATTCGTGACACCATGCTCATGCTCAAGCATTGATTTTGTGCTCAAACTTAAGTTCTTGTTCCCCTTATAAATATATTTAAAAAAATCTGATTTTGTCAATAATTTTGAAAAACATTGAAGAACCTTTAAGCTGAATATTGTTTTCAATGTTTTCATTTAACTTTTTGATTAATTGGCATAATTTACAAAAGAGTTTGTCTGAGCACAGAAACCATGCTCGAGCATGGGGACGGTTTCATGAATACGGGCCCTGGGCCTGTATTCATGAAACTGTCTCATGCTCAAACTCCCATTCTATGCTCAAACCAATTTCTTGTTCTGTGATGAATTAATAAATTAAATCACATTTTGTCAAAAATGTGGAAAAAAGGATAGATTATAAAATCTCACAGTGTTCAATGTTGACACATGACTTTGTTATTGTGACACCTCTAAATTAAGCGAGTCACAAGAGAGTTGGTTTGAGCACAGAATCCGTGTTTGAGCATGATAACGGTTTCAGGAATACGGTCCCTGGTGTTCTGTCCTACGAGATCGCTATGGTTATTGTTATTATTTTGCATCCTGTTTCCAGTTCCGTGAAGTAACGTTTGCGGTATGTCGTTAGATACCCACTCAGGTTCATTTGGGACGAGAGCCGGTATCATATTTATACAAAAAGTACGGTCAGGTAGAATCCGGTGGCATTTTGCTGCGGCAAAATTCAATTAACAAATTAATAGTGAATATCACTTACGTCGGAAACACAACACGTGCGTGACGAGTCAAAAACAAAATATATTAAATGTCAAACTTTAGTTAACTCATTCCGCATCACGTATAATTAAACTATGCATTTCATTGCACTTTTGTTGAGAAACATTCGCCCACAGACAACGACTCAAGTACCTTATGGTCACGACTTGGCTAAGGTGTGACTTTCTTCCTCGTCTTATCTATGATGCATATATGGTTATAACGAAGATGAAGATCAGAGGACGATGAAAGCAAAGGTGTGGCATTTATCTTCTAATCATGTTTAACGTACGTAAATCGACCAATATCACAGAAATTGATGACGAACCATGGCCAATCCATGATAAATACTGACGGTAACCCATCTACAATTCATCGAGTCTGTTGTCTTTATCGACCATCGCTTTCGAACATTTGATTTGCAGTGCCTAGCCCAAATTCCAACATTTCTAACAATTATTCGAATATAACTATGGTCTGATGTTTTCCTCGATGCAAAACAGGAAGTAATTTGTATGAAGGCATGTTGCAATTCTTCGCCATAATTTTCATGAAGCTTTTTTTCCAAATTTATGTAATTTCTTACAAGTTCTCGTGTCGTCTGTGGTACCTTTCTCTTCAAAAGTGGACTGTGTTATTTGTCTTCGGCTGCTTTTTTCCCCTTTATATAATTTTGTTATTGAAACATGGTCGCCATCAAATGTAATTATTAATATTACGATTTTTTTGAATTATAAACCTCCTCCCGCCCCCTCCCACGTTTTTAGAATATAATTCCCCAGCATCTTTTAGGAGGGATCCAAGGCTTGGGGTGCCCCGCGTTCATCCTTATAACATCGTGTAACGTCACGCAGGAGGCCTATATCCCTTCATTCACTCTTCTCTTTCATTCCCTCTCTCATGCAACCAATCATTTCCATTTCTTCCAATAATTATATCATTTAATATAATGAAAATTATATTATCAATCCCCCAACTTATATTCATATACAAATTTTGAAAGTACATACGTGTATATGATAATGAACATATTTGCATGTCAAACTCTTGATTTGATGATTTTGGATTTCCCCAAATTTAGACCAAACAAATCTTTATTCGTATGGTTCTAATTTTCATATGCATCTGTACCTGATTGTCTTTCCCCATAGTCTTCAGCCAACACCTTGTCTCCACCTGCCCCTTGTTTACCTCACGTCCGATATTTTACGTTATACATCTTAGTGTATGTGATCCTCTGTGTCTATATATAGCCTCTGTAACCAGTTGTCTCTATTCACCTTGAATGTTTTCAATATACGCAAAGTGTGTCAACCATGTGAGATTCCACTGTCGTCACGACTGATGTCTATATCTGTCGTCAGATTCCACTGCCGTAACGACTGATGTCTATATCTGTCGTCGGATTCCACTGTCGTCACGACTGATGTCTAAATCTGTCGTCAGATTCCACTGTCGTCACGACTGGTGTCTATATCTGTCGTCAGATTCCACTCTCGTCACGATTGATGTCTATATCTGTCGTCAGATTCCACTGCCGTAACGACTGATGTCTATATCTGTCGTCAGATTCCACTGTCGTCATGACTGATGTCTATATCTGTCGTCAGATTTCACTTTTCTACACCACAGATATATCCAAATATGTCATTTCTAGAAACACTATTTACCGTCATTGGCGTCTTGGTATGCCATGCTCTCATTATGGAGTAATATTGCTAAACTATGTGGCCAGTCTTCGTTTACTTGATGCAAATAAGGAGTTATTCTCTGCCACTTTGTGCTTGTTATACAAATCAGGTGTAAAGTAACCTAACTGCTGTTTTGTATTTTTAAAAAACACCGGATCCTTAACAAATAAAAATAAATAAAAATAAATTGATTTCACTTTTTCACATACCTAATGTCTCAATCTGACATGATGATTACGTATGCTAGCTAGGTCTCCGTCAAACTAACCCCAGCTTACAGTAGTTTATGTCAGCGAAGCATGCTATTTTCTGACAGTTCTAAGAGTTCCCAGAATGCCAAAGCCCTCAAGGAAGGCTATTGATCTTAGCATTAACGGGGGACAGAATGATGTTTAAAGTCAGACACGTTCTGCACGCATCTTTGATTCCTATTTGTTGTTTTTCTTTGAAATTTCTGTGTTGTCATTCTTTTGATATTTCTATCAATTGAGTTTTTCGTACTTGTTGTTTTTCTCATTTGCTTTCCTCTCTAGTTTCTGTGTTTGTTACTTGTCGCTTCTTTGTCATTCAGCAAACCAATTGATAGAACAGTGCAAAGCGACCGACATATAACATCAAATAGCTTCATGATACGTCAGGGGATTTGTCTAAATAATTCCCCTTATAACAGTTCTGAAAACCATAAGATCCGAAATGATTGAACTTGTTTGACATTCCCCAAGTGGTTTTGTAAGGGTTTTCTTTGTACCGCCTCTCATGTTCCTTTTACTGATTATCATTAATTTACTTCGTAATAAATGAAAGCAATGTATGCATATTTCAATTCAAATAAAAGACTTTCTAGAACGTCTGCGAGTAAAATGGTGACAGTAAAATTAATTTGAATATTATGAATTCAATCTAAACTTAGCAGAATAATTCTGCATCACAAGACAAGACGCTATTACATGTATATGAAGCATGCGTTGTTGTTTGCCTCTGTTAGAGCCTAATGTTCATTCATGATCAACGTCTGGGCGGCGTCAGTACACTTCTGATGTTATTATATACCTCATCTATATTTGGCGTGTCTGATTGGATTATATTGATTACATGGTTGGGGAATGGTTATCGTGTGGCTCACGCGCTCGACTTTCCCGATTATATTTTCTTTATTCGGAACCTCTTTAGACAAATGATCAACAAGCACTTTACCTGAGTTCCGAATGACTGCAGCAGACGATGAGAGTGACGCAGAAGCCGATCACCTTCACTGTTTTGTTATTGTTAAAATTCTGTATAATATTATATATATTGCCCTTGTATTAGGGACACAAGATACCTTGTTTTTGTTCGATTCATCTCGTTTTACTCGGACTTCGCCCTCGCGAAAAGTTATTAATCAAAGAATCGTGTTTCAACCATCGGGGATGTATAATATGAAATGTAATGAAAATCGATTCTTCTATAGTTTCGTAGAGAAAATTAACAGTTTCGTTCAGACTTGAAATGCGGACCTTGGTTCAGATGGACTAATTTCGGTATACACTACTGAGTCCAAACGAGACCGTTCTGATGTACAATTGCGTATGCTAATAATCTTATATTTGTGCCAGGTGTTCCGGGAGGGTAAGCGTCTTCTTCTTCACCGATGACACGTGCCAAATGCATCTTTGTCAAATCCAAGTAATGCCAGGTGGTCACATCTTAAACAAAAAACATTTTCAATTAAGTACATATTAGCAATGAGTTAATAGGAATAGCGATTTGCAGGCAGTAGATACAACACAATGGTATCCTGACAGTAAATACTAATACATTAACCTGTCGTCATTAAAATGTCCGGTTGAAGACGAACAAATCAAATGTAAGGCTTTTGTCCTCGCTATTTGCATATGTCTTATTTTGTCAGGCAACATGTTTAACATTTAAGAGTTCATTTTACAAAATCACACTCATTTTTTTTAGCAATACAGGCATTTCATCTTTAGCAAATGCCCGAACTATAAGTGCCATCATCGACATTAGGTAATCGTACCATGTCGGCATTTAATGGCGTTCAAACTGTTATCATGTACTCCATGTAGAATGAAATGGCATTCGACAGAACTCATACAGCCCCATAAGTCTTGCTCTCTGGTAACTAAACTGTTTGACAAATAACGATGCTTTCGTATACATTTTTGTCACAGCCCGTCTCACATTATCGGCCTTGGAATCTTTAAAAGGCTCGCCACATTTTGCTCAGTTTGACAGGAAGAGCCCGATGCAACGTTAAAATGGGCCAATATATGTGTTTACTTCCATACACATTGGTGTTTTCATGTTTGCAGGAAGTGCATTGTTTTTAAGGTCTGTTTGGGTGGTGTGTTATTCTAGTTTTGCTTTTCTAAATGGTTAATTTCGAAAATACACCAGTATTTCACGAAATCAATAAGTGTAACCAAATTGCAACAGACGTTGCTGCAGCCCTGTGGGGTCAGATTACGTTCTCCGAGGCGAATGATATGTCTGCACTTTTCCCACCAAGACGCGGAGGTGTGTTGTCATTAAATTGAAATCCATTAACAGGGAGACAGATATATGGTCGACTAAGCACTGCACTAGAC